ATTCGGCTGAAACAAAAAAAAAATATGTGATAGAATTTTCATAAACAGAAGACTAACACTTGCGAGCGACCCGACAAAGCGACTTCCTGGTACCTAGGTAACCGTAAATATTGGAGTGGCTGCTGATTGGCCATAAACTTTGAAGTGGACACCGGTGATTGGTCAGAAACTTTGAAGTGGACATTACTGATTGGTGGAAGGCGCTCGAGTTGACAGCTCTTGCAATTAAGTAAGTTCAACATGGACTTAAGACGGTGTCCTCTCTGTCTCCTTTCCCCCCCCCCCCCTTCCTCCTGTCTGTCTATACATATATGTATATGTACACACACACACACATACACACACACACACACAAACATATATTTAAACATCTTACAATCTCCAGTCCGTCTTCTGGAGCGTTCCCAACGTCGCTAAACTGACGCATTAAATTGCCCGAACCTAACCTGCCCTAGGACCATCTCTACGATGAACGATATAAACATACAAGAACTTGAATCCTTATGATGTCTTCTGACTTATGCCTGGGTATAATTAACATGAAAATGGCCTGCCGACCATGTCCTTTTTTTTCAAGAGTGCATCGAATTATTTCTTAATGGTTCGTATTAATTGTGGTGTCCGTCTGAGATGCGCCAAGAATGTTCTGGAGGAAGTGGGGGGGGGGGAATTTTTTTCTACCACAGACGTGGCCAGACATTTACAGTGCTAACCAGCATATATATGCATTTTCTTCTGTCCTCCGTGGACAGGGTGAGAGATTTGTTGAACATATAGTTCAGTGATTTATTTGAACAATTAACCACAGAAGGTGATTGTAGTGTTGGTCTATCCCTGTCCTCGTATATCCCAGCTCCCTGTCCTCGTATATCCCAGCTCCCTGTCCTCGTATATCCCAGCTCCCTGTCCTCGTATATCCCAGCTCCCTGTCCTCGTACATCCCAGCTCCCTGTCCTCGTATATCCCAGCTCCCTGTCCTCGTATCCCAGCTCCCTGTCCTCGTATCCCAGCTCCTTGTCCTCGTATCCCGGGTCCCTGTCCTCGTATATCCCAGCTCCCTGTCCTCGTATATCCCAGCTCCCTGTCCTCGTATATCCCAGCTCCCTGTCCTCGTATATCCCAGCTCCCTGTCCTCGTATATCCCAGCTCCCTGTCCTCGTATATCCCAGCTCCCTGTCCTCGTATCCCAGCTCCCTGTCCTCGTATATCCCAGCTCCCTGTCCTCGTATATCCCAGCTCCCTGTCCTCATACATCCCAGCTCCCTGTCCTCGTATGTCCCAGCTCCCTGTCCTCGTATATCCCAGCTCCCTGTCCTCGTATGTCCCAGCTCCCTGTCCTCGTATCCCAGCTCCCTGTCCTCGTATCCTAGCTCCCTGTCCTCGTATCCCAGCTCCCTGTCCTCGTATATCCCAGCTCCCTGTCCTCGTATATCCCAGCTCCCTGTCCCGTCCCTGTGGATTATTGTGCATTAATATAACTGTGAATAAATTACCTGTCGATATCAGGTTATCTAGAGGCCCCTCCACGAACGATACCAGGTTATCTAGAGGCCCTACACGAACGATCGCAGGTTACCTAGAGGCCCTACACGAACGATAGCAGGTTATCTAGAGGCCTTACACGAACGATAGCAGGTTATCTAGAGGCTCCTACACGAACGATAGCAGGCTACCTAGACACCCTACACGAACGATACCAGGTTACCTAGAGGGCCTACACGAACGATACCAGGTCACCTAGACACCCTACACGAACGATATCAGGTTATCTAGAGGCCCCTACACGAACGATAGCAGGTTATCTAGAGACCCTCCACGAACGATATCAGATTACCTAGAGGCCCTACACGAACGATAGCAGGTTACCTAGAGGTCCTACACGAACGATAGCAGGTTATCTAGAGACCCTCCACGAACGATACCAGATTACCTAGAGGCCCTACACGAGCGATAGCAGGTTACCTAGAGGTCCTACACGAACGATAGCAGGTTATCTAGAGACCCCTACACGAACAATACCAGGTTACCTAGACACCCTACACGAACGATATCAGGTTACCTAGACACCCTACACGAACGATACCAGGTTATCTAGAGGCCCCTACACGAACTATAGCAGGTTACCTAGACACCCTACACGAACGATACCAGGTTACCTAGAGGCCCCTACACGAACGATAGCAGGTTATCTAGAGGCCCTACACGAACGATACCAGTTTTCCTAGAGACCCTACACGAACGATACCAGGTTATCTAGAGACCCTCCACGAACGATATCAGGTTATCTAGAGGCCCTCCACGAACGATACCAGATTACCTAGAGGCCCTACACGAACGATAGCAGGTTATCTAGAGGCCCTACACGAACGATACCAGTTTTCCTAGAGACCCTACACGAACGATACCAGGTTATCTAGAGACCCTACACGAACGATATCAGGTTATCTAGAGACCCTCCACGAACGATACCAGATTACCTAGAGGCCCTACACGAACGATACCAGGTTATCTAGACACCCTCCACGAACGATACCAGGTTATCTAGAGACCCTCCACGAACGATACCAGGTTATCTAGAGACCCTCCACGAACGATACCAGGTTATCTAGACACCCTCCACGAACGATACCAGGTTATCTAGAGACCCTCCACGAACGATACCAGGTTACCTAGACACCCTACACGAACGATACCAGGTTATCTAGACACCCTACACGAACGATACCAGGTTATCTAGACACCCTCCACGAACGATACCAGGTTATCTAGAGACCCTCCACGAACGATACCAGATTACCTAGAGGGCCTACACGGAGGTACCATCGGTGACGGAACCCGTGTACGAACGGAAGAGTCTATACAGGAATGCCGATGGAAACCAAATAGCACATAAGCTTCGGCGTTCATCAAGGAAGACTGTAAACAGGGACCTGCCCTCTGCTGGTTCCTGTCCAGCGCTGGCTACATAACTCGGCCCTAAACTGAGTGATAATTATACGCCTTTATGTAATATAGTGAGACTGAGGTCTGGACCGTGGGCGTGGGGGTGTAGGGGCGTGTGGGCGTGGGGGCGTGGGCTGTACATTTACTGAGGTGATGGGGTTCCGTAGGGGTTGTGGGGGAAGTTATCTTGAGGTTATCTTGAGATGATTTCGGGGCTTTTTAGTGTCCCCGCGACCCGGTCCTCGACCAGGCCTTCTCCACCCCCAGGAAGCAGCCCGTGACAGCTGACTAACACACAGGTACCTATTTTACTGCTAGGTAACAGGGGAAGTCACAGTCTTTGGCGTAGAGGAGACCTGAATCAACTTGAGTACAGGGGTTCGTATCCCTGACAACGGGAGGTATTATAACCAACAGACGGCGTAATACAAGGGCCAACGGAACAACAGACTGGGGTCCAGTTCTGTTGTGTATCAACAGGAAAGACCAATAAGAGGTTTTCTCATCAGTGAAGATAAACTAGGCATGGAAATCTGAAAAAAAATTTGGGAACTAAGTTTTTAAAACTCTAAATTCTATTTCTAATCAGAGATTAGAAGTCATGTTAGACAACCTTGCAAATAAAAGTTAGTGAATGGTAAGTGAATTTATTGATAAAAGGACCGTAATGTGTTTAGGAATCATTATATGGCAGTGAATATGGCAGAGAATATGGCAGTGAATATCATAATAACGTGGCTGTAATTGGCTGCAGGTGTTGACCACGACACACCTGGCGGGTGTTGACCACGACACACCTGGCAGGTGTTGACCACATGACACACCTGGCAGGTGTTGACCATGACACACCTGGCAGGTGTTGACCATGACACACCTGGCAGGTGTTGACCACATGACACACCTGGCAGGTGTTGACCATGACACACCTGGCAGGTGTTGACCATGACACACCTGGCAGGTGTTGACCACATGACACACCTGGCAGGTGTTGACCATGACACACCTGGCAGGTGTTGACCATGACACACCCGGCAGGTGTTGACCATGACACACCTGGCAGGTGTTGACCACGACACACCTGGCAGGTGTTGACCACGACACACCTGGCAGGTGTTGACCACGACACACCTGGCGGGTGTTGACCATGACACACCTGGCGGGTGTTGACCATGACACACCCGGCGGGTGTTGACCATGACACACCTGGCGGGTGTTGACCATGACACACCTGGCAGGTGTTGACCATGACACACCTGGCGGGTGTTGACCATGACACACCTGGCGGGTGTTGACCATGACACACCTGGCGGGTGTTGACCACGACACACCTGGCGGGTGTTGACCATGACACACCTGGCAGGTGTTGACCATGACACACCTGGCGGGTGTTGACCACGACACACCTGGCAGGTGTTGACCATGACACACCTGGCGGGTGTTGACCACGACACACCTGGCAGGTGTTGACCACGACACACCTGGCAGGTGTTGACCACGACACACCTGGCAGGTGTTGACCATGACACACCTGGCAGGTGTTGACCACGACACACCTGGCAGGTGTTGACCACGACACACCTGGCAGGTGTTGACCATGACACACCTGGCAGGTGTGTTGACCATGACACACCTGGCGGGTGTTGACCACGACACACCTGGCAGGTGTTGACCATGACACACCTGGCGGGTGTTGACCACGACACACCTGGCAGGTGTTGACCACGACACACCTGGCAGGTGTTGACCACGACACACCTGGCAGGTGTTGACAGGCTGACATTAACCAACACAGCTGGAAATCGCACGAAAAAAAAAAGTCTGCAAGTGAGTTTATTCATTGTTTCTACATTTTAAAAATGTATGTCAAGTCTCGCAACAGAGAGAAAAAATAGTAAATGATTGGCCAGTTAAACAGGAGAGGCAGACAGACAGAGACAGACAGAGACAGACAGACAGAGACAGAGGGCGTGGTGGCATTCTTTCACTGCGGAAATAAATTTCTCTTGTAATGAAGAACATAATAGTGAGTTTCCTCTTGTAAAATGATATTAATAGGAATGTATAACATAGTTGACATTCACCCGTCACTCTTGCCCCCTTCCCTCTTATATCGTACCATTCTTTTCTCCCCCTTCACTATCTTCCCCGCCCCATCACCTCCCCCGCCCCATCACCGTCCCCGCCCCATCACTGTCCCCGCCCCATCACCGTCCCCGCCCCATCACTGTCCCCGCCCCATCACCGTCCCTGCCCCATCACCGTCCCCGCCCCATCACCGTCCCCGCCCCATCACCGTCCCCGCCCCATCACCGTTCCCGCCCCATCACCGTTCCCGCCCCATCACCCCCCCCCCGCCCCATCACCTCCCCCGCCCCATCACCGCCCTGGCCCCATCACCGTCCCGGCCCCATCACCGTCCCCGCCCCATCACCGTCCCCGCCCCATCACCGTCCCCGCCCCATCACCGTCCCCGCCCCATCACCTCCCCCGCCCCATCACAGCCCCGGCCCCATTACCGCCCCGTCCCCATCACCGTCCCCGCCCCATCACCTCCCCCGCCCCATCACCTCCCCGGCCCCATCACCGCCCCGGTCCCATCACCACCCCAGCCCCATCACCGCCCCAGCCCCATCACCTCCCCCGCTCCATCATCGCCCCGGCCCCATCACCGCCCCGGCTCCATCACCGCCCCGGCCCCATCACCTCCCCGCCCCGGCCCCATCACCGCCCCAGCCCCATCACCGCCCCTGCCCCATCACCGCCCGACCCCATCACCGCCCCGGACCCATCACCGCCCCCGCCCCATCACCGCCCCGGCCCCATCACCGCCCCGGCCCCATCACCGCCCCGGACCCATCACCGCCCCGGCCCCATCACCGCCCCGGACCCATCACCGCCCCGGCCCCATCACCGCCCCGGCCCCATCACCGCCCCGGCCCCATCACCGCCCCGGCCCCATCACCGCCCCGACCCCATCACCGCCCCGGCCCCATCACCGCCCCGGCCCCATCACCGCCCCGGCCCCATCACCGCCCCGGACCCATCACCGCCCCGGCCCCATCACCGCCCCGGACCCATCACCGCCCCGGCCCTATCACCGCCCCGGCCCCATCACCGCCCCGACCCCATCACCGCCCCGCCCCATCACCGCCCCCCGGCCCCATCACCGCCCCGGCCCCATCACCGCCCCGGCCCCATCACCGCCCCAGCCCCATCACCAGCACGCTCACCACAAGTCAACAATGGCGGCCATCACCAGGAACCAGTAGCCGCTTCCCGCCAATTTATGCGACACCCAACTGCGCAGGCGCTCTGGGAGCTGCGTCTCCCGCGCAGGCGCGCAGCGGGTGACCCGACCACCAGACATACCTATACGGACCTTGTATATATATATATATATACACCCACAGCTCTATACCCCCCACTTCTGAGTGTATGTCTATATGTATATAAAACATTGTATCCTAAGTTGGAGGTCAGACGCCTAGGTCTAGCCCCACCAAAATTGGCAGAGGGAGTAATCTGGGGTATGGGATGAACATAGGATAGTCGCGGGTGGCCAGAAGTCCTAAAGGAACAGCCTGCTGGAGGCTGTTCCTTTAGGAATGTAAATGATTCCTTTAGGGTGTGAATGTGTTCTCACATCCCCCCCCCCCCCCCCGCCCCCTCCCCACGACAATTTTTGGCACTGCTCGGCACAGTTAAATATTTGAAAAAAAAATAAACATTTTGAAACAGTTAAATTTTCCTTGTAGTAACATACACCATTATTCACTGATCTCTGGGGGGAAAATAAACAGAAACTTCCAGCTATGCAGAATTTGCCCGTAGTCCCATAAAACAGACGAACATCCCACAGCTTCAACGAAATAGAGACAGAGACGAGAAAGACAGACTGACAAACATTCATCTACTTATCCACACATGGATAGAAAGATATATGGATGGATAGGTGGATGAACAGATGGACTGATGGATGGAGTGAAAACTGGATACATTGATGTATAGAACGATAGATGGATAGATAGATAAAATGTATATATATATATATATATATATATATATATAATATATATATATATATATATATATATATATATATATACAGAGAGCGCGAGAGAGAGAGAGAGAGAGAGAGAGAGAGAGAGAGAGAGAGAGAGAGAGAGAGAAACTTTCATAATCCCCAACCCATAAATCACTTAAAAACTGTATGAACCGACCAGGGTTCGAACCTGCAGCTACAGGGTAATTGAAGATTGAAGATTACATTAGACTGTTTAGACAGGTGTGTATACAAGGAGTGAAATTGATCGTTTAATGGCGCGAGTAAAGTTAAGCAGTTAGTGGTGGGCGGAGTGAGGTCCCGCCCGTCACTTATATGATAAAGTATTCTTATGATTTGTGTATACTCTCAGCTGGTCTTGTGGGCCGGGGGGAGGGGGGGTCACATGCATGATATAGGGCTATATATCCTATAGGACTTCTGTATCCTATAGGGCTATATAGATCAGGATTATATTGAGTTGATCTTGATTGATTTTTTCCCTCGTTGTATCACGTTCCTGCGCATATTATGGATATGAATTGCTTGTTAGGACGGTTGATTGATACTCGGTAGTTGAAGGTCAAGAGCAGGTCGTTGGAGAGGCTGTAATTACCCTCTAGCTATGGCTAGAGGGGGAGCCGGTCGGCCGAGCGGACAGCACACTAAACTTGTGATCCTATGGTTCCTGGGTTCGATCCCGGGCGCCGGCGAGAAACAATGGGCAGAGTTTCTTTCACCCTATGCCCCTGTTACCTAGCAGTAAAATTGGTACCTGGGTGTTAGTCAGCTGTCACGGACTGCTTCCTGTGGGTGGAGGCCTGGTCGAGGACCGGGCCGCGGGGACACTAAAGCCCCGAAATCATCTCAAGATAACCTCAAGATGGCTGTCTCCTAGTGAACGTGCTTTCTGCGGGAAATTTGTTTCGGAAAACCACGTGAATAGTTTGTCTAATTCCGTATTAAGAGTTATATAAGAATTGTATCACACACAGAGATGACAATAACGTGATGCATCAAATGAACAAATCCACAAGGGCCGTGACGAGGATTCGAACCTGCGTCCGAGAGCATCCCAGACACTGCCCTAATCGACTGAGCTACGACAGGGTAAAAGGGTTGAAACCGAAGTTCTACTGAACTTACTGGATCCCGTAGCCTCTCCGAGGCACAAACCAGGCTTTTACACAACCCCCCCCCCCCCCCTGCACCCAAGCTATGTCAATAGGCCGTTCTCCCTCTTCGCCCTTACATCATCACACACAGAGATCACACTAACGTGATGTATCAAATGAACAAATCCACAAGGGCCGTAACGAGGATTCGAACCTGCGTCCGGGAGCATCCCAGACACTGCCTTAATCCAGTAAGTTCAGTAGAACTTCGGTTTCAAACCTTTTAACCCTGTCGTAGCTCAGTCGACTAAGGCAGTGTCTGGGATGCTCCCGGACGCAGGTTCGAATCCTCGTCACGGCCCTTGTGGATTTGTTCATAAGAATAGTATATAAGAACTCGCCAAATAGTATTTATTTAAACTATTAAATCAGTTCCTCTCCTAACTTTGAATAGCAGTGCCTATAACCGTCTGCATTTTCCAAATATCATTGTCAAAAAGCACTGATAGAAAGTATATGTTAACTTTCAGATCGAGCCATTGTGTCGATTGATTGATTGATGAAGATTAAGCCACCACCAGAGGTGGCACGGGCATGAATAGCCCCGTAGGTGGTGGTAGCTGTTGGGATTGAATGTTATCTTTGGTCGTATAACATCTTGTAGTGTCTCCTGGAGCCATTGTGTAGTCCATGTTCTCGATATCTGCTCTTAGAAACCTCGTTATCCTCCTGTCCTGGGGTCAGAAACTCCTGTCCATATATCTAGCCTAACCTGAATTTGGCTAAGAAACTCCTGTCCATATATATAGCCTAATCTGAATTCGGCTAAGAAAATCCTGTCCATATATGAATTTGGCTAAGAAAATCCTGTCCATATATATCTAGCCTAACCTGAATTTGGCTAAGAAAATCCTGTCCATATATCTAGCCTAACTTGAATTTGGCTAAGAAAATCCTGTCCATATACATCCAGCCTAACCTGAATTTGGCTAAGAAAATCCTGTCCATATACATCTAGCCTAACCTGAATTTGGCTAAGAAAATCCTGTCCATATATATCTAGCCTAACCTGAATTTTTTATTAAGCTAGCCTAACCTATTTTAGAATTCTCCAATTATGAAAATATAGATTTTCTTGTCAGGCCTTTCTTGTTCTATCTCGTTTACTCACTGCTCTAATCTGTTAAAATATTTGTTATATTGTGTATTGAAAGTTTTTTTTGTAAATGGAGGAAAAAATGTTGATTTTGATATATTGTTTAATGTTTCTGATCACTTCCGGTATATTGTGCCCCTCGCGAAAATGGAATTTTTGCCCACAGTCTGAAAATTATGTCCATTGTGTAAAGATAGATATAGATGGTGAGAGAGACAAATAGATAATCAAGCATAGAATTACACACACACACACACACACACACACACACACACACACACGCCTTACAGTACCCCAAGACACCACCCCCCTACCCCTCCCCCTATACACAACAACACCC